ACACAGAGACACACACACAACACGGAGACACACACACGACCACACTCACAACACAGAGACACACACACGACCACACTCACACACAACCAAACTCACAACATGGAGACACAGACAGACAACCACACTCACAACACAGAGACACAGACACACAACCACACGGAGACACAGACAGACGACCACACTCACAACACAGAGACACAGACACACAACCACAACCGCAACATGGAGATACAGGCACATAACCACACTCACACACAACCACACTCACAACACAGAGACACACACACGACCACACTCACACACAACCACACTCACAACACGGAGACACAGACACACAACCACACTCACAAAACAGAGACACAGACACACAACCACACTCACAACACGGAGACACAGACACACAACCACACTCACAACACGGAAACACAGACACACAACCACACTCACAACACGGAGACAGCCTTACTCACATCACACAGACACACAACCTCACTCACACACAACCTCACTCACAGCACACAGAGACACAACCTCACAGCACACAAACACACAACCTCACTCACAGCACACAGAAACAGACACACAACCTCACTCACGACAACACACACACAGAACCTGAAACAATCGGACTCACAAGTTGAAGGTCTCGTTATACTTGGGCGCCCAGCTGTTGTTCTTGGACTTGGTGGCGAACTTCCTCTTCCTGTCGCTGAGGTGCGGCCCGACGATGTGCACCTCCACAAACGGGCGGAATATTCCGGAGGTCTGCCAGCGCAGGTCATTGGCTGCAACAACTGTGGGAGTGATCAGCAACACTCAGACCTGCTGCCGGGCGCTCCTGCGGGCTCTGACCACGCCGGCACGCACACAGCTCTGGGGCTCCTCGGTTTCCCCTGTTTTGAGGGGCCAGTCCTTATCGCTCTGATCCTAGATCTACACTGTGCTCCCCATTGGGGCCCCTCTGCACGGCCATCTTCCGTTTTACTGGGGTCTTTTCAGCAGGTGTTCGCTCTCGTTAATCACCAGGCACTGGGCTATTCCATTAGACTCCGTGTTGCTCCCAACACCCTCTAGTTTAACTCCTGAATAATCTGCCTGCCCGCACTGGAGTATTCAAGCCCATCGACTCGATGAGGGCCCATTTCCAATATTCACTAAAACATGAACTCAAAGAGACACTGGCACATCCCACAAGACTGAACCCCTAACTCCCAGTCTTCAGATTGATAAGCACCATCACACTGTCCGTCTGTCTCCTGATGTTAACATACAGGGTGCATTCAGGATTCACCCTGTGCCACCTAGACTCCTGCTTCACTGATCAGCGATGCCCAGCTCGCCCAGCTCCTTCAGCTCCTAGCTCAGATGGCTCACCCTGTTGATCTGCAGTGCCTTCATCCTCAGTGAGTCTGGCAAACTGTCTAGACGATAGCCACTCATTCGGCACCTGTGCCACTCCTCCTACAGACACAAACTGTTATCTAGATTCTCGCTCGCTGAGTCCCGCAGGCCTGGAGTCTGTTATGAAAAATCCCTGTCATTCACCCTCTCCTAACAGCCTGGCATCTAGACACAGACCACTCCTCTTGTCTGTCCTTATAGGCTTCACAATCCAACCGGGAAGTTATGTTAATCGCTTCATCAGCCCAGACAGACTCACCCTTCACTGTGATCTTGTGCTCCCCAGTGTTGGGGTGGGTGAAGATCTCCACGTGGATCGACACTTCTCCCACAGGGTCGTCCACGCCTGAGCCTAATGAGGGGTGGGGGGTCAGAAGGTCAGAGGCCAAGTCAGAGACAGGTACAGTAGGATATGTTGCTAGAATAGTCTCTCGGCCAATCGGAACACCTCCTTTCAATTAATGCTGTCCACTCAGGGACAGAAAGGGGGCAGTTTCCTTTACTGATCCCTAATATGATTGCGATTGGAATTCGACTGCAGCGTGTCAATATTTCAACGTCTTGAACTCCTATTGGCTGGCATCTCACCCGGGGCGTGGCTGAGAGGAGGTGTCGTGAACCGTGATTGGCCGGTGACAGAATCATACAGTAGTCACGGCTATGGTTTGGGATCTTTGGAAACCGATATCATAAGATAGAGTGTAACCCAGAAACACAGGAGACAGCAATAATAATAGATTCAATGTATTAATCCATAGACTCCTGAGGTATGTTACAGCTTTCAAAGTAAGGACTGTGGGACTGTGATTGATGTTCCGGCTGCCCAATCCATAGCCTTGATTTATTTCTGTTAGCCAATGGGAGCCTCACTAGGTGCAGAGCGAGGTGGGATGGTAAAAGGAGGAGGGGCTTGGGGGAAGGAGAGTCGAGTTCTGATTGGATGTTGGGGTTGACCTAGAGTTTTCCATAGGTTCACCAAAGCAGGCAAGTTAAAGGCAAAGTTAAAGTCACATGCTCAAACATATTCCAACCTCCCCCCCTTGCCCAGAGCAAGCACAGAGAGCAACAGCCAGCATCCAACATTCACTGCCCGGTCCGGCCCGGCTCAGGTCCAGCAGAACTTCCTCGGGGCTCCTGCTGGAGTGAGAACAAACAGCGCCAAGGACCCGAGAGCTCCTAACTCACAGCTCGACAGTCCCCGAACCCCGACTCACAGCTGGTCTTCCCCAGTAGCTGACGAGAGTCTTGGGGTGCTGTTGACCCCTGAAGGCTGTAGCTGCAGAGCGAGCCCCCAGGGGTTCAGGTGGCCTGGGCTAGGCCAGACCGGACCGCGGCCCGATGCTGCCGGCTCAGAGGCCCGGGGGGGTACACATGCAGAGGGGCCCAGAACGAGGGCCCGGAGTCAGGCAGCGGCTCAGGCTACCAGGAGGGGGGATGGAGAGGGGCTGGGCAGCGTTCGAACCCTGCGGCGACCCCCTGACTCCACGCTGACGAACCCAACACAAGGCCCCCTGCTTCCAGTCTGAGAACCTGCTGCCCGCAGGCCAATAAAAAACAGCTGATGCCCAAAGTACCAACAGCCATTCCCAGACATCGTTAAGAAACTAAAATCCTACATCTCAGAGAGGCCCAACAGGCAATTAATCATTCAGAAACGGACTGACTGACTGAGCTACGGTGTACCACCTATTTAGCTATTTAGCGGTTTTCTATTTCCCTTCTGCAGAAACCATTTTCAGGCCCTGAGCCATCAGCAGTCTCAAATGTTTCCTGTCTGAGTCTGGAGGAAACGAGCTGACTCGGCGTTTGTTGGGTATCTACGAGTCTGGTGGGGTCGATAATCCGCCCCCCCGCCCCCAGCTGCAGGCAGTGAGACAGCGAGCGGATTTGAAAATGACCCTGACTGCCACAGTCAGCTCTTCCAGCAGGCCCATCTTCTGATTAGGCTCCGGAGAACGGATCAATCAGGGCCGGCAGCTGCAGAGCTCCAGGGTTAGTCCTCCCGCATCCAAAAGGAGCTATTTCGTATCCCCCCCTGAGGCTGAGTGGCCAGCCCCACTGGCTTAGAAGATGCACTGCTGGACTGCTGGTGGAACGTGCAGTTTAACGATATTACACCCAATACATCAGCGCGCAGGCGTTAGCTTGCCAGCAGGGGGCAGCATGGCTTGTCACGCTGTGAGGCTGTTTGGCTGAGCTGCAGTCTTGTCCGCTGCCAGGCCGGTAATTAACGGCAGGCTGGACCAGGCTTCCTCCCCTTCGCTAATGGACTGAAAAGGGCCAGGACCCTGTGCCAGGGACAGAGAACATGATTTCGTTCAGTGACTCGGCTCCCTTTGATCGATTGTAATTCACCTTAAATGAGCTGTTCACATCGAGCGACTCGGCCATGTTGGCCAGCGGGCCGGCTCTCTGGCCAGAGACCAGCAGGCGGTTCGGCTCCGGCAGGAGAATAAACAGCCGGGATTTTCCAGCCTCGTCCCGAAGGACGCGCTCCGCGAGCAGGCTCCAGACACGACAGCTGCCTCTTCCCAGCAGTCCGCCGTTGTCTTAGTCCGGCTGACGTGACACTAGAAACTGGGTGTCTGCAGGGGCGCTTCTGGCCAGATTCAGTCCACAAGCTTTAACAATTAACCTGCAAGAGGCTGCTTTTAGAAACCCATGTCAAAATTTGAATTTTAAGTAGGTAGCTGGGTCAGCAGCTAATTGAATTTGATTTTGTTTTGGGGGGACACAGTTATCCAGCCAGCCCCAACAATATGACCCTCAGGTTGTGGGTATCTTCAGGAGACATGCGCTGGCGGGTACCTACAGCCTGTCAGGGTGTCCTGTCTTATGGTTCTCTGTTGTTTTAGGGTTCCAACACCCCCATCCCCAAGCTTAAAGAACAGAGCCCTGTACCCAGGGGGAACATGGGCGCCCCCCTCCTGTCAGACTGAGCACACTCCTGCTTTCGCGTCATTCAGACATTCTGCACAGTCCAGGCAACATCACTGTGCTTCCAAGGCCTGGAGAGGAACAGACCCTGAGAGAGCACGCCCTCGGCCAAGTGCAAGGTCCGCGACTCGCACACCCACACACACGCGGCTGGCTGTGCGGATGTGTATGGCACACAGGCGCACGCGAGCGTGCATCGAGCTCTGTGCGCTGCACAGGGACACAGTGCACAGAGCAGGGTTGTGGATGAGTGTGTGTGCCCCTGCGCTTGTTTGCATGCGTGTGTGTGCGCATGTGTTCGCGTGTATGGTACGTGTGTGTGTGCGCGCGTGCGCTTGTTTGCATGCGTGTGTGTGCATGTGTTCGTGTGTACAGTACGCGTGTGTGTGCGCATGCACTTGTGTGCATGCACGTGTGTGCATGTGTTCGAGTGTACAGTATGTGTGTGTGCGCATGTTTGCATGTGCGTGTTTTAGTACCAGCCTGCGTGTGTGTGCCTGGCGCTCTGTGTTTGTGCGTCCTCTGTGTGTGTGTG